TATTTATTTTTTTTGAGACGGAGTTTTGCTCTGTCGCCAGACTGGAGTGTAGTGGCACGATCTTGGCTCCCTGCAACCTCCGCCTCCTGGGTTCAAGCAATTCTCCTGCCTCAGCCTCCTGATTTATATTTATATTAGATTAAATTGATCTTTATCTGAAGTAGCCCCTATTGCAGATTTCACTACTGAAAGTCACTACCGACATTCAAAAACTAACACAATTAGGAGTATTGCAAAATTTTGCCTTCAGTTCTACTTCCAGTAACCTGGCATTTAGCTTCCTTATGCTTTTTCCTAAATAGCACCTGGTTTGCCCCTTCAACAATTTACCCTGGGTCCCCTTTACTTAATGGAATTCTATCTTCATTATGAAGTAATTCTGCTAAATGCTTTTAATAACTACCATTTATTAGTGCAAAATTTATAGATGAAGAAACCAAAGGTAAGAGTTTAAATAACTTGCTCAAATTCATATTAAAAGCAAGGTTTGCACTGAGAGTTGTCTGGTCCTAAAGCTACCTTGTGTCTTATAGGTGGCAGCTGGTTTGCAGACAGAACTGAATATAGAGTTATTTGCCATGGCTGTTGGAGAGGATGGGGCCAGGGGATCAGCACACATCTCTCACAATATCGAGATTATGACTGAGCATGAGGTTCTGTTCCTACCTGTGGAAGCAAATATCCTTTAATGTTCAACTTGAGTAATCATATATAGTGCAGAAATTACACGAGTGAGGAAAACATGGAAGTCAAAATGCATCTCTACTTTATTAATTCTATCTTCAAAATCAGAGTTAAATTTATTAAGACAAAGGGTATCTTCATCCATCTTTGAAAGCACCTAGCCAAATCTAAAAAAATACCTGACACACAGTATATGTGCAGTAACTTCAAGCTGAAAAAATGTAAATGTTATTGGCTATCTATGGAATATCAGACAGAATAACAAAATGGCAAGTCTGTATCACAAAAAATTGTAATTTTATAGAAGGATAGGAGATACCTTCTTATTGTAAAGGTTGGGTATTCACTGAATTATGCATGCATTCCTCCATATCAGTGTCTCCAGCCACACAGATATTAGACATATATCAAGTACCTATTACCTCCAAGGTACTGTATGAAATAGTTTATCATACATAAAAATGGATAAATGGACCCTGTCTTAAAAGGCATTATATAATCTAGTAGCAGAAATAAAGTCTTCACATTTTATTTCTGTTTTGTACTTTCTCCAGTGGCATGAACTGTGTGCTGCTTGTGTTATAGTTCTATATTTATTTGATATTTGAGCTGGATCTTATAGAATGTGAAAACTTGATTGACAGGAACTTTAAGTACAAAGAATGAACAAACCATGGCAACAGGAAAGCTCCAGGTGTTTGGGATGATTGGCAGGGAGTTCAACTTGCCAAGAGCTTGAGTATTAGGAATATAGTGGGAAAGTAGGTTGGAGTCAAGTTATGAAAGATCTTAAATCCTTGGCTTGGATTTTATTATTTAAGCAGCAGTGAACCACTGCAGATTCCTGACTCTGTGGGTGATATGATCAGCATATCCTTATTAAGATGAATCCAGTGTTATTGTGCAGGACATGTTGAAGGGGAACAACTGGATGTGTAAAAGAACCATTAGAAGTCTACCTGAATGGGCCATGTGTAAGCACAAGAACTGTGGGAATGGGGGAACAGTCAACATAAAAGAGGGATATGAATGAAAGACATGGTGGGGGAAGGAAACTGCAAAATCTGAGGTAGAAGTCATTGATGGATGGAAGAAAGAGGACATAGAGTTCAACTTCAAAGTTTTGGGCTGAGGTAATGAATCATGGATATGTAATATTAGATCTCAACTGAGAAGTCAGAATTGGAGATATAATAATTTTAAGCATTGTTTACACAGAGGTGATGGCTGAACGTATGGGCAAAGAGCAGAAATCTGGAGTCGGTTTAGGGAACAGGAGGAAGAGGAGCCAGTGGAGACAGAAGCAGCAATTAGAAAATGATGAAATACTTCAGAAGCCTTAGGAAGAATTTCAAGGAAAACATGGACACAATTGACAGACACTATTGAAATGTCAAAGAAAACTCAGATTTAAAGTGTTAAATTTGGTGGGAACAAAAACTAAATTGCAAAAGGTAGAGAATGACTGTATTAAGAAAACAGAAACCTTAGTTATGGATATTCTTTCAAGAAAATTTATTAAAGGAAAGAGCAAGAAAACATGGTACCTCAAGGATGCAACAGAATATAGGAAGGATTTTCAGTTTAGTGTAGACCTATGTGTTTGTAGGTTGAAGAGAATGGAGCAGAAGAGGTATATTAAAAATATGAATGCGTAGAAGTAATTGAAACTGCAATATCCAAAACAGGGCAAAAGAATAATAATAATAAAAAAAAAAACAGAGCTGAAGGGTTAGTCTTGGCAAGGGAGAAGCTGAAGATAGCTAAGGATTCAGACATTCTGAGGTGAAGGAGAAAGTTCAAGGACCTTGTGTCAGATAGCACTGATGTCAATAAATGAAGTGTAGTTCATTCGTTCATTTATGCTTTCAAAGATGCAGAAACCCCTGCCTTTATGTAGCTCACATTCCAGTGGGAGGATAGACAATACACAAAGTAAGTAAACCATAAACAATGATGGCAGTAAGTACAATGGAGCAAAATATAAAGTAGGAAAGGAAAGTCCTCCCTGGGAAAGTCTCCCTTCCTCTCACCTTCCTTCCCTTCCTTTTTCCTTTCCTTTTTTTGAGTAGTGATGACAGGGTTTTTCCATTGTGATAGAAGGAAACTAGCCAAGGAACTAGTTTCTTCCTCTGGGAACTAAATCAAGTGCCCTTACCCTCTCCACACAGGTTATTAGGTGCAAATACCTGAATCACTGCTGCTGATCATAGCAATGAAATCATTTGTATTTATAATAAATTTTCTATTTCCCTGCTTACAGATTAGAGAGAAACTGTCAGACACAGATAAAGGGCAAAAAATCTTATCAGATCTTTTATCTACATTGGACATTACTTCCAATGTCAACAACGATAATTCATAGCCCATTTCCCAAGATTTGTCATTTTCCCCACCAAAAAAAAAAACCCACAAAATCTGATGTAGATATGGTTTGGGGCTTGACCATGCTGATGACTCCTTATAGAAAGCCAGTCGCAGTTAGGAGAGAAATGTACATCAGGGAGAACAGAAGACATTCTAGACATTGGCATATCCATCCTCTAACCCCCAAGCCTGAGCACGTAGAATTTGCATTGGATAGACGGGTACCTAAAGTTGAACTAATGTTGCTAGAGTTATTTCGGTTTATATATGCAAATCACTTGGTCATGAAAAGCACAGCCCTTAACAAGTATTTTACCAGTTTTAACAAGCATCAATTATGATAAGCGACCAAAAGACTTTCCCCAGGGAAAAGAAAATCCAATGGTCCAGAGAACTTCTGCAATTCATTCCTCCACACTTGGAGTCTTCATGTCTCGTAAAGTTTCTCCACATTAGGTACAGTAAGTAGTAAATGGGAATTTGATTGTCAAGCATTCAAATTTGAGGTATTAGATCCCAGGTTTCTTCCCCTCTCCTTATAGTCAGAAACCCATAAGCCACCTATCCTGAATGAATGAAAATATTTGTTTAAATAACCATACTAGTTACTCCTTTATATATATTATAAAATCTAATCCTCATGCTATCTAGAAGACAGCTTTTCCCACTTTATAAATAAGAAAACAGGGGTTCAGATAGTTTGCTTACTTCTTAAGTGGAAGAAGTAAAAATCTAAACTACTTCAATGTGATTCTAAAGTCCATTCTTTTAAGCAGTGATTTCATTGTTCAGATAAAGTTGATCTTACTCTCTAAAAAGTAGCAGCACAGACACAAACACCAAGGTGCCCTTGAACTTGAGAATTTACAATTAAACCAGTGTTTTTCAAACTTTTTAGACTCAAGACTCCTTTTATTGTCTTAAAAATGATTGATGATCCCAAAGAGCTTTTGTTTATGTGAGTGATATCAATATTTACCAAGTAAGAAAACTGGGAAAATTTTAAAAATTTAAAAATAATAAACCCAGTTTATTCATATAAATGACATTTTTAATGAAAAATAACTTTTCGAAAACAAACATGTAGTAAAGGTAGTATTGTTTTCTATTTTTGCAAATCTCTTTAATGTCTGACTTAGTAGAACATAACTGGATTCTCACATCTGCTCTGTATTCAAACTGTTGTCATTCACACATCATATACCCTCTGGAAAACTCAGCTGTATGCCTAAGTGAGAATAAGAGAAAAAGGCAAATAACATATTGTGTTAATTTCCTTGGGGTGCCGTAACAAAGTACCACAAACCAGGTGGCTTAAAGAAACAGATATTTATTCTTTCACAGTTTAGAGGGAGAGAAGTCCAAAATCAAGGTGTCAGCAGGATTGGTTCCTTCTGGAGGAATAATCTGTTCTACGCATCTCTCCTCATTTCTGGTGGTTGCCAGGAATCCCTGGCATTCCTTGGCTTGTAGTGGCATCACTCCAACATCTACCTCTGTCTTCACAGGGCAGTCTTCCTCGTGTATTTCTCTGTGTGCCTCTCTCATTGGATTTAGGGGCTACCCTAATCCTGAATGACCTAATCTTAACTTGATTACATCTGTAAAGACTCTATTTACAAATAAGGTCACTCACAGGTTCTACTAGACATGAATTTTGGAGGGCCAAACCCAGTACAGCCTGCCCTCTGGTCCCTCAAAATTCATGTTCACCCCAGGTGCAAAATGCAGTCCTCCGTCCCGATATTCCCCAAAGACTTAATCCATTCCTGCATTAACTCTAAAGTCTCATCTAAAGATCACCAACTCAAAAAGTCTCAAAGCTCATCATCTAAATGAGGTATGGGTGAGGCTCTGAGCATGAACTGTCCTGGCCTCCTTTCCATCTATAGACCTATGAAACTGAAAAACAAGTTACCAGCTTCCAGAATACAATGGTGGGACCACCACAGGATACGAATTCCCATGCCAAAAGGGAGAAGACGGAAGAAATAAAGGAGTCACTGGTCTACAGCAACTTTGCAACCCAGAAGAGCAAATTCCATTAGATTCCAAGGACTGAGAATCGGTGGCACCATCTGCCCTGTATGCCCATGGAGGCTCCACCAATCCCAGCCTCTAGGCCCTCAAAGACTCCACTGGCCCCACCCTCTGAGCCCTCAGCTTTGGCCCTTTGCAACAGTCCTACCCTCTGGGCAGCCCGTTTCCTGCTTACAGAATTCCAGAAATCTGACAGCCTTTCTTCATTTTGTACTCTCTCTCTCTCTCTTTCAGTCCAAGCTGTCAGTGTTTCTGCTGATACAACATTCTCATCCTCCCTAATCTAACCTCATCTTAACTAACTACATTTGTAAAGACTCTATTTCCAAATAAGGTCACATTCACAGAATCCAGGTGGACATGAATTTTCAGGGAACAGTAATCAACCCCAAACATATATCTTAATATTGTAGTTTTGGACTACACTCTGGGAACCACTAAATTAGGACATAGTTTATTTCAGTTCTCGGCAGCGACTTTCAGAAGTTAGCCCAAACTGAGAAGTGTACAGTCTGCATCTCTAGCTAGACAATTCTGAAAACTATGGAATAGCTCTCAAAGATTCATAATTCCTGTTGGCACCAATCTATCAAAAGTAATTCATGAATCTACCTAATAGATGAAATGTCTTAAATAATCTCTTTATGCCTCTTTGTGCATATTATTGCAGACTTAATGAGATTAAATAGATGCAGTAACAGTAGTAACTTTAAGCACTTCACAATAACTGTGTGGGTAGGTGCTATTCTACCCATTTTATAAATAAGGAAAAGGTTAGGTAATTTGCTCTATAGAAGCTGTATTAGTTATGTGTTGCTATATCGTAAACCACCCCAAAACAGTGGCTTAAAACAATAAACATTTATGATCTCATAGCTTGAGTCAGGAATCAGGCACAGCTCAGTGGGGTCTTCTGGCTCAACTGGGGATGAATCTGCTTTCAAGCTCACTCAAGCAGCAGTCAGCAGGATTCGGTTTCTTGCAGGCTGTTAGACTGCGGGCCATGGCTCCTCACTGGCTATTGTCTGGAGACTGCCACTCGGTTCCTCACCATGTAGGCCTCGCTTTAGGGAATCTCACAACATGGCAGCTTGGTTCATCAGAACAAGCAAGCAAGCATGAAGAGCCAGAGTGTGAACAAGGTAGAATTCAGTGCTTTATAACGTAATCTTGGAAGAGACAGCCCATTACATTTGCTGTATTCTGTTCACTAGAAGCCAGTCACTAGGTCCGACCCCATACTCAAGGGGAAGGGATACACAAGGGCAACACTGTGAGGCCCTATATAAGAGTTGGGCTCAGTGACTGTTACACAATGTGTACTATGTTCTAAAAACATACCACGGCTGCTTGGATCCCAAAAACCTCAGAAATAAAGAGAAAGGACTTGAATATATGGTGATACTACCTTTAAGAACCTTAGCCCCATCTCAAACTTAGGATCCTAAATTATGAGGAATGGGGGTGGATTGCAGATGGTACCTGTAAGCCCATGTGGTTTCTTCATTAAGCTTCTGCTCACAGCCTCCTTCTCTTTCTGAAGACTAACCTGGCCTGAAAAGGCTGCATTGAGCAGGCTCATCATTTACAGTTGATAAGTGAATAGAGTCCTATATATAGTCCTGTACCTACCAACAGATACCATTGCTTTCCTGGGCACTGTCCTAGATCTGTGCTAGAGATTTGCTAGATTTCTTTAGAATGAGATATGATTTATGACATTTGCCATTGAGAAACAATTTAATGCCAAATATACAAAGCACCTAGCTTCCAGCCAGTGAATTTCAAAATTGTTAAGCATATTTCTCTAAGTGGATGGATATATACATTCAAAAAAATAAGCCTAAATGTTTTACTCCCAATAAACAATTCAAGAGCCTTTTTTTTTTTTAAATGGAGTCTCGCTCTCTGGAGACTGGAGTGCCATGACACAATCTCAGCTCACTGCAATCTCAAAAGGCTTTTCTTTATGGTACTACAGAATTTCTACAGGTAACTCACTTCACAATATGCAAGAGATATTAGTCATTAAATAGTTTTTATATTAAGGATTATATACAGCCAATGGCTAAGGCAATGAATACTGACTTAATGACTAGAAATGTGCTTGGCCTAAAATTTACTTTATAATGCACCTGTTGACCTTAAACTTTTAGGGTTAAAGAGTTTCAAGTATTTTGACCAAAAGTTGTAACTTAGCTAGGTTCTGTACATGTCACTTTATCATAAAAGTTCCCCTTCTCTTTGATTTGCATAACACTTAGCAGACAGAAACATCTTTACATTCCCTAGCACTATCAGGCTTTTGAATTATGAATGGTGGCAAAGCTATGGGAAAACAGCAACTTTTAACATAAGAGGAATTATTAATGATGTATACATCTAGAATGCCCTCCTGGAACTTGTTTTGGTTTGGAAACCATCAAAAATGTTACTAGAAAGTGACATTTATGTTCTGATGAGCAACTCTAAGAAGAACATTGATTCAACCTCTGTTCTCATAAAAATTAAATTATTTTTCAAGAATTAACTCACTACACTCTGGGAACCACTAAATTAGGACATAGTTTATTTCAGTTCTCGGCAGCAACTTTCAGAAGTTAGCCCAAACTGAGAAGTGTACAGTCTGCATCTCTAGCTAGACAATTCTGAAAACTATGGAATAGCTCTCAAAGATTCATAATTCCTGTTGGCACCAATCTATCAAAAGTAATTCATGAATCTACCTAATAGATGAAATGTCTTAAATAATGTCTTTATGCCTCTTTGTGCATATTATTGCAGACTTAATGAGATATTAGATGCAGTAACAGTAGTAACTTTAAGCACTTCACAATAACTGTGTGGGTAGGTGCTATTCTACCCATTTTATAAATAAGGAAAAGGTTAGGTAATTTGCTCTATAGAAGCTGTATTAGTTATATGTTGCTATATCATAAACCACCCCAAAACAGTGGCTTAAAACAATAAACATTTATGATCTCATAGCTTGAGTCAGGAATCAGGCACAGCTCAGTGGGGTCTTCTGGCTCAACTGGGGATGAATCTGCTTTCAAGCTCACTCAAGCAGCAGTCAGCAGGATTCGGTTTCTTGCAGGCTGTTAGACTGCGGGCCATGGCTCCTCACTGGCTATTGTCTGGAGACTGCCACTCGGTTCCTCACCATGTAGGCCTCGCTTTAGGGAATCTCACAACATGGCAGCTTGGTTCATCAGAACAAGCAAGCAAGCATGAAGAGCCAGAGTGTGAACACGGTAGAATTCAGTGCTTTATAACGTAATCTTGGAAGAGACAGCCCATTACATTTGCTGTATTCTGTTCACTAGAAGCCAGTCACTAGGTCCGACCCCATACTCAAGGGGAAGGGATACACAAGGGCAACACTGTGAGGCCCTATATAAGAGTTGGGCTCAGTG